CCCTTCCCCCCCCTCTTTCATCCTGGAGGGGGCGGGGGGTGGGTGATATCATATATGAGCTCCCGTTGATATTGTCGCCGTAAAACTCCTAACCAGAAACAATAAAGCCCCGCCAAAAAGAAAGCACCCTTCTATCCACAATGGAAGGAAAAGAAGAAGGAGAGGAAAAAAAAAGGGGGGGACAAAACAAGCAGCAAAGTCCACTTACCCATTCGAAACCTTGTTATACAAAGGAAAAACACGCAGGCTTTGTAGCAGCGAGAAATACTGCGAAAGAGGGAGAGAGAGATACTACCAAGTAAAGCTCTACTAACTCTCAAATTAAATCTTCCTACGCACGGTAAACTTGCGCTCCATAGTAGCAGCAGGCAGAGAGTCGGCGAAACAATCACGCGCTAGAAACACAAACGTTAGTTTTTCTTATTCCGGATTCTTGTTTTTTTTTAAAAGAAAAAAAGAAAGAACGAAAACTTACTCTCTGCAGAGTCAAACATGATGAGAATGTCATCATGTTCACCAGGATATTCAATCTCATCCAAGCACACAAAGCGCCTCTTGACACCAGACCATCCCGTCAGTCTGCCTTCGGCCTTTTGGATCTTGCCTTCGCCTCGTCGTTCATCCACGGGCAGCGCAAACTTGGCATCGACAAGCTTCAGGCCAAACTTGCCTCCCTTGTCTGACTTTTCAAACGTGTCCGTCAGACGGAGTTGGAAGTTCATGGCGTCGGCGTGCGAAAAGTCTTCGAAAAAGGCGAGGAGTTGGACAATGTTGTCTTGTTCGACAATCTGGAGACGAAGTCGGTTGGCGGTCCACTGCTTGTAGATGGGAACGACCATGCGTCGACGCGAAATAGAGAAAGAAGCTGCGAGCCCATCAAACTTGACCTGGAACCCAGTCACAGCAAGCTGGAATGTATGTAAATCATCAAACGAGTTAAATGTCAGACGTCGGATCGTTGACGCGCTCGTGAGCGTCTGAAGCAACTTTGCGAGATCTTCAGGAACAGCGGGATCGGTTCGACTGCCATCAATGGCAACGGCCATATCTTGCTGGGGCTCGCGGAGCAGTGTGAGTTCGGGAGAACCGTCGACTGGAAGGCGAACCAAAAGTTCACCCGGACCTAGCATCTGTTAATCTTTTTTTTTCTCATGCACACCCAGAAAAGTGACGCAAAACTCACCCAAGTTCATACGGTCAGAGACAATACCGGCAGTATGCCTGCACATGATTCTCAAGCTCTCGCTCATAACAGTAGGCGCCGACTCCAATCCTGCAGCTTCAGGATCTTGATTCATCACCTTGGCCTCAACCCACTGCAACTTTTCGAGTACGCGACTCCCGTTTTGGCTGAAGCCCTCTGTCTCGTCGGCACTCTCAATGTGAAATCCCTTGAGCGCGACCTGAGCAAAAGTGGTTTCGCCAGGTGCAACGTTCATAGAAGTGAATGTACCGAAGAGATTATTGCGATCCTTGCCTTCTTGGAAGACTAGGTGGGCCATGCACATCCTGAACCGCTTGTCTGGGCCCTCTTCACGGAAACGTAGTCTCAAGGCAGGAGCTTGATCTGGCTCAGTGATGTATTCAAAGTTCATGGGCTCCTGTTTCGTTCCAAGCTCATGATTGACCAAGCTGACTTGTTTGTGCTGCTGTGGCGTGACCAGTACCATTCGGTAACCTCGATGCAGTTTCCGCTTTCCAGTACCTTCGCTGCTAAGCTCAATCTTCTGGAACACCAGTAGCCTACAGCCTGGTATTCGTTCCTGGGAGAACATGGATGGGTTCGCTGGGTCCTTGTACGTGGCTTCGCGGAGGTACATTTTGCACGCAAATCGTTCGTCTCTTCGCTCGCGCAGATCCGACTCTACCCGGCTGGTATGACTGACAATAGACCATAGACTACGGAAGTCTGCTTCATGGAGGGCAAGCGTAAGAAGAAATCCGTGCCGTAGCTGCACAGTAATCTGGTTCATTTGTTGTTTCCAGTTGACGTCTCTCCATGTGATGGCTGAGCCCGGACCAACCAGGAGATTGATTAGGCTATTTTGACTGCAGATGGCGAGCTTGGCTGAGTATTCCTCCTTGGGTCGCAAGACGGACAAGACGACGTTCATTGGCACACGATCTGTGGCGGGGTCATCGGTCGATAACGAAGCTTTGACGAACATGCGGAAGTAGCAGAATTCGTTCTTGGTGTCGGAAAGAGGAATGTACTGCGAAAGGCTGACCTGTTGCTGGCCGCTTGGCTGGCCGGCGAGCCCAGAGCTGAGCACACTAGCGGCATCGGGAGCAAATGATGGGTATTCTTCCCATATCGCTTGGTCCTGGCCCTGGATGAGGGCCTGCGTAGGAGGCATGCTGTGGTGCTTCTTCATCGATCCGACTAGTAACCTCATGTAGTGGCCAATGGCATTCTGGATGTCATAAACCTCTGCGCCCGCAGCATCACCTGCCTGTCGAGCGAGTTCGACTTGGGCGTCTGGAGATCCATCGCCGTACTTTTGCAGGCCAGGGTGGTTCGGGAGGACTTTAGTTATGATCCACCACACCTTGGCCAAATCGACGTGAGGCTGGGCAAGCCGCTCTTGTGGCGGGTCAGCCGACTTGTGTTGACTTCTAATGAGATTTTCCATTCCGGTACGTCCTTTGAGAAACCACCAAGTGGCGACCCGAAGCCATTGCATGGGAGTGTGGTTGTAGATGTTGCCACCTAGCTGGGCTGTAAGCTCAAAGATGCCTCTCATATGGGTTACGCGCTCAGCAAAGTCGCGATATGCCAGTTCATTCGCAGATTGTGTGTCGGAGCGACCGAGTGGCGCAGTGGGTTTGGTGGCTCCAGAAGCACTGCGGGATGCCATTTGAGCACCTGGTGGGCCTGACGGCATTGCAAGCGCTGCGGGTATCGAGGACGGTGGCGAGGACTGTTGTTGAAAAGCTGATGTTCCTGCCAAAGGCTGGGGCGGGCTGGAGACATGAGGCATTTCATCAAAAGCTTGAGGATAGGGCTTGTCGGCGGTTGAGGCTGCTCGTTGCACGGACGGGTTGGAGAAAGGATCGGATCGAGAAAGGGGCGAGGCGGGGGTTTGTGAAGTGACAGAAGGTGTATACTGCGGTGAACCTGACGAGGGCACGCGCGTGTTCATGTCGTGTGGGTATGCCATTGGTCTCTGTCCGGGAGATGGGCCACGGGCTCTTGATCGTTGGGGGTCTTCAGTCTCAAGCCCCCTGCGTGGTGATGTCCTCGAGTCCATGGGTGCGTTGCTGAGGGGCGTCCCTGGAACCGAGCGCTGTGAGCTCTCTTCTGAATCCCGCCGTTGACCTGATGCTGCACGCTGCGCCGCTTCGTGTAAGGCCCTGCCCTCCTCTGAACGCATTTTTTGCTTGGCTCTTGCTGCAAAAGAAGCATGCGCGTCATCTTCCTGTCCGGCTCCATGTAGGTTGGGCATTTGCGGAACTGTGGGTACGGGGTATGCGGGCTCGTCGTCGAGTCGCTCGCCCATGGTGCTAAAGCCAGTCTGGCTGCGCTTGAGCGACTTTGGTCGGAAATCATCCTCCTCCTCTTGGATTGTGGGCTCGCGTGCAGACATTGCTTTGGATACGACGGGCGAGAGGTTGTCTGAATCTTGTGAGTAGACCGAGTCTTCGCTCGACCGCCTCATAGGCTGGTGCATTGCAGGTTCTATCATGGAGTCAAAACCAGTGGGCGCGCGCAAGAGGCCCTTGGGACGTTCGCCGAGGCCCATGGGGCCCAAGTGGCGCGGCGGGGTGGGAGGGAGCTGTGCGGTGGTGGTGATTTGGCCGAGCTGCATCTTCTGGTTCAGAGGAGGGGACAGCTCGCCGGGATTTGTGCGTGTCCTGGTGAGGTTTGTCTTGTACTCTGTCTGTGCATGTGACCTGTATTCAGTCTGTGAAGGGGCGCGGCCAATGCCATTGAGGCGGGGGCTGGGGATGGTGTCGTCCTGCGGCACCTCGGAGGGCAATTGCTCCACTGCGGGCACATTCACGGGCTTCTTGTTCTTGGCCACTTCGATGGCGGGGTCCTCACACTCGTCGCCGCCGTGGCCTATGACTTCCGGGACAGTGCGCACAAAAGCGACGGTGAGGCCCTTCTTGCGCGTGCCCGACTTCAAGCCTCCCGGACCTGGGCTCTTTGCTGCTGCGCTGTTGAGAATGGCTTGGGCACCCGGCCACCGCTGGGCACTGGCAACATCTATGCGGGGGCGGTTGAGAAAGGCGGCGGCGGCGGCGGCAGCAGCCTCTTGCTGTTGCAGCTGCTGGGCGGCACGGTCTGTCGAAGGCTTGAGGAAGGCGCTGAGATCGTCGTTGTCAACCGTGTTGTCGACAGGCTTGTTCTTTGCGTTGGCGGCGGCGAGCTCGCTGGTCTTGTCCAGAATCTTGGTCTTCCAGCGGCTCTTTGAGAAGAGCTTACTGGCGGGTTCGTGTGCGTCCACCATGGTGCTGTGCGTAGGCGCGACTCGGGGCGGTGGAGGCGTTGGTGGTGTTGGTGGTGGTGGTTAGAGGTGGGGGGGGAGGAAGGTGGCACAGGGCCGGCGAGGCGTAGTGGAGGGCGTTTGTGGACGAGCAATGTGGTCGCGTGCGTGGTTGCAAAGGCAGCGAGGCAGTGAGGTCGCTTCGGCGTCCCGTCCAGGGCTCAATTGGCGGCGGCGGCAGCGGGGGCGGGAGGTGGGTTGGCGGAGGAGAGGGATGGGGCTTCTCTAACAGGGCCCAAGCATATGAAACGGCTTCACTCGCACAAGCAGTTGCCAGAGCGCTTCTTGCAATGCATGTGACGAGAAGCAACGGGCGTGCAACGGGCAAGCAAGAAAAAAGAAAGACAAGAGAGGGACGCGGCGAAGGAGAGACGGCAACACGAGGGCGGGAGATCAGAGCGTTGGTCGTTGCGGAGAGGGTACATGCAGCTCGACGACAAGGCCAAATTGGCCAGGGTGCACGCTAATTGCACGCCCGTGTTGGCTCTGCCCTTCCAAACGCCCTCGTAAATGCGCCCGAGCGAGATTGCGCATGCTCATGCCTCCACCTGCACTCGATCCGGCCTGCCTGCGCGTGGCAGCCCAGTGCAGCACGCCGTGGTACCACGCAGCCAGTGTGGATATGCTCGCGCCCGCAATACGAGAGACCCTCGGGCTGGCCGTCAGCAAGCACTTTGCTGTCTGGCTCTGCTCTGTCAAGACGGCGGCCCCGGCGCCATGACGGCCATGGCAGCTGTTTCACGCGTCTTGACAGCTGCTACACTACGCGTCTGCCCGCCTCTTTTGCCTGCCAGCGCCGGCAACGATGCAAAAAAAGCCTCGTGCGTTCAGAGGACGGCGGGCTCTCGTGTCGCAGCGACTGCAACTCAGATACTTCGTCGAGCGTGCCAAGATGGGAACACCACGCAGCCGTCTATGCCCGAAACATGACAGCAGCGTCGAGTGATAAGGCGGCGACAAGGATCTTCACCTTCTAACTTCGCCGTGGCCCCTGGTCCGCTCCCCTTTGACGTTAGCTTTGGGTGAAAATGGGCCGTGGGCAATACCAACTCTGCGGCCAAGTCCATGCAAGCTTACGCCAATCCACGGTAGTCGCCGTCAGCCCCATGGGCACAATGCCTCGACCCGACACATGGCCGCACATGTACTACTTGTATGTAGCAAGTACCCTCTTCCAACTCATCCAGCCGTGGCGGCCAGGGGTCCTACTACCATGTGGGATGGGAACAAGGTGCTTACTGTGTGCCTCAGACTGTTAGCGCCCGGAGAGGAGCCATATCGGCCTCAGCACTAAATAAGCGATATGACGATGGGCCTCCCTACTCGACATTTGCCGTACCAACCACACGCCCGCCAAGACCGCCCGCCTGCCTTTACACACGATGCGCCAGCCACAAGCAGTAGGACATGCTGCCAAACGAGATTGCCATTGCACTCCTCATGCCACGCTTTGCCCCGCCAGCTCACTAGCCACACGCGACCCTCCACCGATCATCATCCTCAATCTCATCTCAACCATAACCATGTCACTCCAACACGCGTCGCAAGCATAGAGTTTAGTCTGACCGGGCCACGAAACCAAAATTACTGGCCCGATTCCGTCAGCCATCATTCCACAGGGACAGACACACACGAGAGTCTAAAAATGTACACTGCACGTACCCCTCCGTGAGAGCATGGCCCCTGTCCCCTCGTCTAGACCGTGTGAAGCCCTCTTGGCCGTATACATACATACATACATGGCAGTTCGCACCGGGACAGTTTTCGTGATAAGCAACTTGTGTGCCAACACCCATACGTACAATGTTGAATGAAGCTTCGACTTGGCACTCCCTGGAGCCGCAAGTGGGGCTCCACCTAACCATGACGGAACGGAGACCCATGCGTACTATCGTCATAACCTCCGAAACATACTATACCCCTCCGTCGTTCTTCCCCGCCAAATACAACCCACTCCCATAGTCTATCGCTCCTGTTCCCAACAACACGCGTGCCAATGTCTTCTCGGCCCACCTCCGAGCCTCTCCAGACTTATGAGGTCTCGGATTTCACCTTCCACAATGCCTCCACACTACCCAAGCTCAAACTAGCCTACAAGGTGCTCAATCCACACAACTCCAAGATTGCAGTCGTCCACACCTGTTTCAAAGGCCGCCTCAACACCACCCAAACTTATGCACATGGCGCCTTGAAGAATCACAAGATTATCCTCATTGCCCTCCTTGGCAATGGCGAATCCTCTAGTCCTTCCAACACTCCAAACTTTCCCTCCCAAATTGAATACATGGACTGCATCAATGCCCAATATCTTCTTCTGACCGAGGAGCTCGGCATCAAAGACGTTGATGCAATGCTGGGCTTCTCCATGGGCGGCCAGATCACCTACCATTGGCTGGTTTCACATCCCGACTTTATCAAGAATGCAGTCATCATCTGCTCCTCGGCCAAGACAAGCAGACACAACTACCAATTTCTCGAAGGCCCAAAGGCTGCCCTGGAGCATGCCGCCAGCCCGGCAAGAGGCATCAGAGCCTTTGGGAAAGCCTACTCGGCCTGGCTAACAAGTGCAGAATGGTTCGACAAGGAATGCTACAAGGAAATGGGCTTCCAGCAACTGCGCGACTGGGACGATGTCACAAATATCCAAGGCTACGAAGGCTGGGCTGCCGACGATCTGCTGGCCCTGCTGGGCATGTGGCAACGGGGTGATATTTCTCGCTGCACCAAAGGTGGGAATTTCGAGGATGCACTCAAGAGCATCAAAGCAAAAGTTCTCCTCATGCCCTGCGAAATGGATCAATATTTCAGGCCCTACGTAAGCCACAGGGAGGTCGAGAGCCTGCAAAACGGTCTTGTCGAGGTCATTCCTAGCATCTGGGGTCATATTGCGGGTGGTGGAGCCAATAAAAAGGACACTGAGTGGATGGATCACAGGATGAAACTCTTCTTGCGTGGTCTGGCGTAGGGGCCATGACAGGCTTGATTGTTTCATCCCATGTAGTAAGCACAGCACGTGATCTCAATGTCATGTCGTGCTGCACGAAATCAATCAAGATGACAGTTTTCGAGAAGAAAGACAATCAAGAGTTAAGCTTTTGCCAAGCAGTGCACGCAAGAGAAGAAGACGTTTACCAACACACACCGTTGCCGTGGAGCTAATCCCCATGGCTGCAAGTCGTTTCGCTTTTGCTTTTCAGCCAATCAACTAACGGCCTCATCGATATGTTATCGCCAAGCTCTTACACTCAACGCCTCATCCCTACCCTCTTTGAGTGGCCTACACTTTAAACCCACAAAACCTTACTCTGTGACTCCCATTTATATAGAAAGAAGAAGCCACTTCAAACTTTTGTCGCGTAATCGTACCCAATACACACCCTTCAAAAAGAAACAAGGAGAAAAAAATATCCAACGCCATCATGTCTTACCAAACACCACCAGCCTATTCCCCTATGTCTTTTTCTTCTTCTTCATCTCCTTCATCCTCAGACACAAGTGCAGGGACGAGCGCGCCACGAACCAAGCGCGCCCGCGTATCTGCAGAACACACACTAAACCGAGTGCGAGAAAACCAACGACGACATCGGGCCCGTCAACGCGACCACGTCGCTTCACTGGAACGCAAGCTGGCCGAGACGGAGAGACTACTAGTAGAGGCAAGAGCGGAAATCGCCATACTCAGACAACAAGCCGCGCAAAGAGACGAATACAATGGTGGAAACATGGAAAGCGGAGTATTAGGAAGAGATATCATCTCCATCACGCCACCACTGACATCAACATCACCTCAAAACCAGACGGCACTATTTCTCATCCCGGCACAAGACGACAGCAACAACAACAACAGTAGCAGCAACAGTAATCCAGCCTCTCAGGACGACGCCATCTACCCAGACATGTCCCAACTCCCAGACCTATCCTTCTTCACCGACACCACCACACCCACGACCATGACGACAGACTCGACTTACTTCCTCTCCCCCCTGCCCACCAACCTCTCCCTCTCCCTCTCCCTCTCCCTCGCCAACTCCAGCCCCAGCCCCAACACCTCCCCTCCCCTCTCCCTCCCNCCCCAGCCCTCCTCTCCCCCCCTTCACCCTCATCCTCCCCCTCAGACCCCGAATGCACAACCTGCAAGACGCGGCCCCCGCCCTCCCCCACCGAAAGCACCACCCTCTGCGCACAAGCCTTCGTCCTCATTCGCCAGCAAAACTTTCGTAACCTCGATCCCCACTCCATTCGCATCTGGTTGGCCCAGGGCTTGCGTCGCGCTCAGAGGGAGGGCGAGGGCTGCAGGGTCGAAAATGGCGCCTTGTTGCGCTTGCTCGATTTTATTAGTGGCGTCTAACATGGAAATTCAAATAATGACAAAACAAGTTTACCAAAGAAAATTCAAATGCTTTTATTTTCTTTTTTTTTTCACTCCCCTTGTTCTTGACCCGCAAGGGGGGGGGGGAGGGGGGGAGGGTTGATCAAAGTTTGCGGTTATGGAAAAACGTGGATTCACACTTTGGCATACATGCCACGGTACGATACAAGTATGAAGAAGATGGGGCCAAGATAAGAGAAGAAGAAGAAGAAGAAGGGAAAGAAGCGGTCTCATGGTTGTTCAACTTTTTGTTGTTTCATTACCCGTAATCGCTATGCAGACAAGAAGAAGAAAAGAAGAGAATTAAGGAAAAAAAAGAAGAGGACAAGATTCATATAAATATACAAATCTTTAGGCTTGAGTCGAAACATTAGGCATTTCAATCGGCCGTTGAAACCATCCCCTCACATGTTACCATCTAAGATCCTGTTCATGGAGGAAAAAAAAAAAGAACACCCATATCATGGTACAAAAAGATATAGACCATTTTTTCTTTCTTTCTTTCTTTACCGTCCCATGCGAATCACGCCCGCATGCACAAGCTTCTGGATCTTGGACCGAATCTCGGGATTCTTCAAGTGCTCTTGCAGCGCCGCAGGATCTTCCTTTGCTTGTTGCAAGATGGCTTGCATAATCGGGTCTTGCAGGATACCAACAATCTACCGTTTTGTTAGTAAAAAGTAACAACAGTCTCAGCTTGACTCAAAACTCACCTCTGGATCTCGCTGGATACGCTCCATAGTCTCCTGCTCAGTCTCACCCTCACGGGCAGCATACTGTGCCTGCAATGCCTTGGCTTCTTGTTGTTGAATCTCCCGCGTATGCTTGCCCTCCTTGTCGTGCTCCATGGCTTCAGTGCACGTGTTAACGCACTTGTTGTACTCGCGCATGGTAAAGTATGCTTGGGCCTTGCGCAGGTATGCTCGGATAAAATCAGGGTCGCGCTTGATGGCCTCGTCGCAGTCTTGAATGGCTGATGGGAACTCGAGCAACTTGATGAAGCAGGCGGCGCGGTTAGAATATCCTCTTGGGTCATCAGGCGCACGCTTGATCATCTCCGTGTACGCTTCAACCGCACCGGGCCAGTCCGACTCTTTGAATTTGGCATTGCCAAGTTCGCGTGCCTTCTCAGCCTCCTCCGGGTTAATGTACGACTCCTTCTCTGCCTTGATCTTGGCCTTTTCGGCAGCACGAAGCTTGGCAAGTACCTCGGGTGTACGGTGCTCAGTCTGCGCCTTTTGGTAGTAGAGGATTGCGTTGCTGAGGTCGCCCATTCTCTCGTAAGCGGTACCAATACGTGCAAATGCCCTGAAAAGCGTTAGACACAACCATGTGACTTGTTGGCGAAACACTTACTTTGCAATGATCTTAAAGTCTGCGAGGATTTCTCGACCATACTCAACAGCCTCTTGACAGGCCTTGATGCAGGACTCGTAATCCCCCTTTTCAAAATAGGCTGCTCCCAGATTGGTCTTGTATGTGATGTCCTTGTGGGTTTCCCATGCCTTGTTGTAGTTTTCAATGGCCTCGTCAAACTGTCGCTTCTTGTAGAACTCTGTGCCCTTCTTCTTCAGTTCATCAGCTTCGGCCTTGGCCTGCTTAGCAGCTTTTTCTTCCTCAGTCTCTTCGACGGGTTCGGGTTCGGGTTCGGGCTCAGGCTCCTTCTTCGGCTGCTCAGGTGCTGGGCGCGCATCGGGCATCTCGACATCTTCCTCTACCCTTGCTTCTTGACCACCTGCACCACCTGCACCACCGGCTTCTGGTGGTTGACCAAAAGACATGTCAATACCTAGCAGCACGCTCATGACCTGCAGGAACCGAGGATCTTGCATAAACTGGCCTGCCATGTTGGGGTTCTTTTGCAGCATCTGAAGCTTGCCCATGAATTCTGGATCAGCGAGCAGAGACGCAGTCTTTGGGTTGGCTGCCAGCTTTGCGATCATGTTTGGATCGTTGAACATACCACCAAGTCCTGCGCCGTCGGCACTGGCCTCGGCGTCGATTGCACGTTTTACGGCTTCCAGACCCGACTTGGCTTGGGCGTTGTTGGGATCGAGCTTGAGTGCCTGGTCAAAGGCGTCTGATGCACCAACTATTTGCTGTCAGTAGTGAATTCTCCCATGTTCACAAATTTCACATGCCTAAATCACCCTCGCCGTGTAGCGCAGTTCCTTTTCGCCCCCAGCCCTTTGACCAGTCGGGCTTGATCTCTGTAACTTTGTTTGCATCTTCAAGTGCCTTTTTCCAGTCTTTCAGAGATGCATATGCGCCCGATCGGTTCGAATAGAGGACGTGATTTGTAGGGTCGAGCTCGATGGCCTGTGAGAACTTCTCGCTATACCTTGTTAGTAAATGGTAGGCTTCGCCATGTTTGCGGGGAACTTACATGGACTCCGCGAACTTCTTCTCGGCGAAGAGCTTGTTGCCCTCTGCTTTTAGTGCATCCGCCATGTTGTTGATGTGAAAAGATAGCTGTTCCTGCACAGAAATTACGAATTACTTGTCGTGTATAGCCTCTGAGGGAGCAGCTTTGAATTATTGTAGTTTGATGTGTAGCTAGAATGTTCGATTGCGGAGCTCGGGAAAGACGTCCGTGCTTCTTGAGCGCTCAAAGGGCGTCCGTCATAACCCCACCATCCAGCCTGACGTGACATCTCTCCAGCTTGTAAGTGACACCAACATCTCTCAGCCCTTTTCACGCATGTTTGTGCCGCAATCAGCGTTGTTTCAATGATATCATCGATTGACAAGAAGTAATCGACAAGGTGTTCGAGTTGGTGTTGAACTTGATTGGCGCTGTGGCTTGCTGAGCAATACCTTGCGATGCCGTTTGGATCAGCGATATTTGGAGGGCACATGCGTAGTTGTTATGAAATTCTCAAGCAATTACTTTCTTGCTGAGCATGAAAGACCTCTGTGCAGCTATGACTAACATAATGACCAAGCCTTTCTTCTGATCTTATCCTCAGACGCCACAGGAGGCGCGATCAAAGCTCTTGCTTCGCCCGAGGATCTGGTGTAACCCCCAAGTCATGGCTCAAATAGTGCGGCAGGCGCAATGGGAGGCGCAGCTTATTCAAAGTGGACACTACGACAAGATTATGGTTCAGAACCTGGAAGTCGTCGTCAATGCCGGTAAAGACGTCTGGGGTCGTGAGAAAAAGCAAAGGGCCTTTATCAGTGTCATTCTTACTCTTGGCAAGCAATTCACTTCAGCTTCTTCCACCGACTCCGTCGACGATAGCACCGTCCACTATGGTATACTCAGCAAAGCTATCCAAGCAAGGTTCGGAAACGATACACCGGCTTGGACGAGCACATCTGCGCTTTCAGCTGCAATCTCACAGTGTGTGCGCGATGTCGCAGGTTCAACTGAAATATACGCCATCGAAACGAACGTGTGCTACCAAAAGGGGAGTATGCTCGGCGAAGGGGCAGGCCACACGACTTCTTGTATTGAAAAGTCGGGAACACGCTCGAGTGTACTTTATTTGCGCAACGTCCGCATTCCTTGCCTAATTGGTGTCAATGCGAATGAGAGACTGCAAAAGCAGCCCGTGGACGTTAATATCTGGATAGATGGAATCGCTGACTCTCGCGTCGACGACTATCCACAGCTGGAGAGCCTATTGTTTGAGGTGAGTGTGTTCAGCTTCAGCACTGGACGCTAACTGACCAGCCACAGCTGATCTCAGGGTCCTCATTCCAGACGATTGAGAGCCTACTAGCGTGGCTTGTCGAAGAGCTTAGACAGAAGTTCTTCACGCAAGATGTGGATCAGGGCGCATGGATCAAGCTGCGAGTTGGCAAGCCCCACGCCGTACCTTTTGCCGACGCGCCAGCTGTGGAGATTACGCGACCAGTGCGTTCGGATTGAGGCGAGAACATGTTTGACAGAACATGGAATGTGGTTGGTAATAGCGAACCAGAACATGGCTGTGACCATAGAGGCGGGTGCAGATATTGGCGAGACGCAAGCCACGGGAAGAAATCAAAACGTGTGTTCCTGAATCGAGTAGTATACTCTGTGGATAAGCTCCGCTAGCGTGTCCGGCGGCGATTTGGTCCCCACCCAATATCTAGCCCCCTGTCTTACACGGCGTGAGGGCTTGTAGAGTTTGGATAGTCCTCGGTCTGGGTACAGTGTCGACTGGCGATGAGCTGGCAGGCTTACATCCATAAAGCTAACCGCCACGAGGGGTTGTTGTTGCTCGTAGTAGGACGGAAGGGGGCGTTGATCTAAACGTCTGTCAAGCAAGGGCATCGCTGCTGTAAGCCTACAATACACAACCTTAGTAGTAGATCCCCCACGTGTTTTAAGCGACAGCTGAACTCGGGACGGCGTTGAGTGTACATTGTGGCGCCAACCACAGTGGTACTCTACTTATTACTCTACCCCTGGAGTAGTGATACACATGCAAGCAGATATGCTCTCGGCGTAGAGCATGGCGCAAGCACAATGTCTCCCAAAGGCGACTGTGCAAGTACGTACATGGTGGCCAGACTGGGCAGGTAGCCGTCGACGAGGAAGCGGGTGTTCCAGGAATAGCAGGGCATTTGCCTCAATTTCGCGCGTTCGCCACAGGCCAGGAAAATTGGGACGTTGCCCGCATGCCGGGGAAGATTGTTGGGGAGCAATGGGAAAGGCGGTCGCGCGGGCTACGTCAGGTTGGCTGCATGCCCCCCCTGCTAGCGCGGAGACCAGATGAGGGGCTTTTCAGTTTATCGACATAGCTCCCAGGGAAATTATTCAACAATTGTGCATCGTGAGGCTGAACAGATAGGCGGCCGCAAAGCTCATTCGATGGGTGCTCTTGACATTGACTCGGACAGACGGCCGGATAGCAGCCAGCAGCGCCGCGAACCGGGGCCGGTGGCAGCCAGAGCCACAAATGGGTGTGCTGAGACGTCGGTGAAGGGGGCGCCGAGGTGGGTACAGCAAGAGGGCGTGGTGGTGCTTTGCAGGCAGTGTACGCCTGGCAAAACAAACAATGGCAGCCTCTGTGCAGACAGCAGAGCAGGTCCAGCGTGGGAGCAACCCAATTGATAGCAGCAGACGAGGACACGAGGTACGGCGCGCTGGACATGTGGGCAGGATCCATTGGCGGCGTCGCCGTTGCCATGCAGAGATGCTACGCTCAAAACTGCCCTTCTTGTCTCCGGGCGGCAATAGTAGACTGCAGGTATAAAAAACCAGATGCACACCGTCTCTTCACTACTCGCCTTCTTCCCCCCCAAGCCTTTTCTTGCTACCAGGCAGAGCCCGTTCTCGCCTTGCCCCACGTCCAGCGCCAAGCTCGACCCGTTTGTCTATAAGGAGTCCAGCTCCCCAACAACAGCTGTCCCCGACACTCCTCTTCTGTTTCAAGTCTTTACCTTTTTCCCAACATCACAATGGCATCTCGCGCGATCCCTTCCCACCTGAAGCCCTCTGCTGCTGAGGGTGAGGGTGGCTTCTCCTCCCAGCGCCACCACGGCAAGTCACAGTCCCATGTGGTAAGTACACACGTCCGCTGTCGCTGTGCAGCCTGCCCGTCTTCCCCTTTGCTTTGCTGTTTTCTCTCTCTTCGCCATCGGCTCAACTGCTTTGGTTCCCCTCGGCTTCACCACTCTCAGTCTGTGCCGAGTGGACACCTCGTGCCTGGCGAGCCTGGGCCCGCGTGGACGTCTGTCTTTGGCGGCTTCCTGCTACTTTGTGCAGGGATGAGAACTCATTGGCAAGCCTTTCTCTCGAGCTGTCAGGCCATGTTGTGAGAGCGGCAGTTGCAGCTCTCCGGAACCATCTGCCCCGCACCGCCTGCGTGTATACTCCGCGGCCTCGCAGTCGTGGTCTTACAACATTCACACCGCCAGCGATGCATTCTCCGCTTCCGCCATCTCAATTACCAATTACTGACGCAATTATTTTACCTAGGCATTCGAGAACACATCGACCAATGTCGCTGCCTCGCAAATGCGCAATGCGCTCAACAAGCTCGCCGATACCGTCACCGATCCCGCTGAGAAGAAGGTCAGTCTCAATTGCTCGATGGCCCTCTTCGATCCCCCACATGCTGCTCGCACCATACAATACACTCACTAGGGTCAATTGCCCATGGTTGTGAAAATGGTCATGATCATCCGCTGCGGACATCGAAGAGGGGCACTTGGTCGTATTGGCACAACATACTGACGGTCGCAGTACTTCGAGACGGAGATGGACAACTTCTTCGCGCTGTTCCGCCGGTACCTCAATGACAAGGCTAAGGGCACTGCCATTGACTGGAACCGCATCGCACCCCCAAAGGCGGAGCAGGTTGTCAACTACGATGACCTTGCCAACACCGAGGGTGTTGAATACCTGAACAAGCTCGCCGTCGTCAAGCTCAACGGTGGTCTCGGTACCTCGATGGGTTGCGTTGGCCCCAAGTCAGTCATTGAAGTCCGTGACGGCATGTCCTTCCTGGACCTGTCCGTTCGCCAGATTGAGTACCTCAACCGCACATACGACGTCAACGTGCCATTCGTGCTCATGAACTCGTTCAACACCGACACGGACACTGCTAGCATCATCAAGAAGTACGAGGGCCACAACATTGACATTCTCACATTCAACCAGTCGAGGTACCCCCGTATCCTCAAGGACTCGCTCCTCCCCGCTCCCAAGGAGTACAATTCAGACATCTCCAACTGGTACCCCCCAGGTCACGGTGACGTTTTTGAATCTCTGTACAACACAGGCATGATTGACAAGCTCACGGAGCGCGGTATCGAGTACATCTTCCTTTCCAATGCCGACAACCTGGGTGCCGTTGTCGACCTCCGCATCCTCCAGCACATGGTTGACTCCAAGGCCGAGTACATCATGGAGTTGACGGACAAGACCAAGGCTGACGTCAAGGGTGGTACTATCATCGATTACGAAGGCTCTGTCCGTCTGCTCGAAATTGCCCAGGTTCCCAAGGAGCACGTCAACGAGTTCAAGTCAATCAAGAAGTTCAAGTACTTCAACACCAACAACATCTGGATGAACCTCGCGGCCATCAAGCGTGTTGTCGAGGCCAACGAGCTTGCCATGGAAATCATCCCCAACGGCAAGTCGATCCCTGCTGACAAGAAGGGCGAGGCCGACATCTCGGTCCTCCAACTCGAGACGGCTGTCGGTGCTGCCATCAAGCACTTCAAGAACGCACATGGTGTCAACGTTCCCCGAAGGAGGTTCTTGCCTGTCAAGACATGCTCTGACCTCATGCTTGTCAAGTCTGATCTCTACACACTCCAGCACGGCCAGCTGGTGATTGACCCCAACCGCTTCGGTCCCGCCCCTCTGATCAAGCTTGGTAGCGACTTCAAGAAGGTTTCCAGCTTCCAAGCACGCATCCCATCGATCCCCAAGATTGTCGAGCTGGACCATCTCACCATCACTGGTCCGGTCAACCTTGGTCGTGGTGTTACCTTCAAGGGTACCGTCATCATTGTCGCTACTGAGGGCTCGACCATCGACATTCCCCCAGGTTCGATCCTTGAGAACGTGGTTGTTCAGGGTTCGCTCAGGCTGCTCGAGCACTAGAGCAAATTTGGGCCTCATGTTTTGTTTGCGCTTTTACATAGATTTTTGAGGAAGGAAGGAGTACTTTGGTAGTGACTGGTAACAAGGGATGGCAAGGCATTCTCACATTCCTAGACAGATAGGGCATATGTGGTAATCGGGGGCGTAACAGCCTGGCCCGTCCATGATTGACGCATCATGATAGTAGACATGCATTATTGGCGGGTAAAAAGAATATAATCGTCTTTCTCAAATTCGTCCTTGTTCAAGCTTGGCTGCTGCTGGTGGTCTGTCGGCGAGTAATGTGTATACCTATCCGCGCATGACGGCGGCATGGTGGAAACGGAAACGTCGGGCTGGGTCGCTAGCGGCCATGTGAGCCCGAGCGGGTGCCTGACTGCTACCTCAGACCTCACGCCAGCTCAGCCTTGCGGCCCTACCTATCAGCGGTGATGTCAGCCTGGTCACCAGCCACGCAGACAAGCCGCCAGCCCAACACATGCGGACCTTGGGAGCAGTTCTCGTGCGGCGCAGAGGCGCAGTCGACGCGCCATTGTGCCTGCTGATAGCGGCGATGGGTTTCTTTTGATATAAGCAGCAGGAGCAGTAGCAGCCTCCGGATGCCGTCACGTTCCATACTACATACTTACGCCTGCATTATTGCGTCGCACGACAGCGGGGTTCACCGACCGCACCACCTTGGATCAGCACCAGCTCCGAAGATTGAGCCGAGGCGCTACTACTACATACATACATGCGCGCATATGCTTGAAATCATTGATAACTGCTATTTCCACCTTTCTCCAGCATGGCCACGGAACCCGCGCAACAGGAAGAGCATGCCGCAAACACAGCAAATGCCACGGCGGCGCATCGCGAAGCATACGACTACTGGGGCTACCTTTTTCAAGAAGACAAATGTGGGACGCGCAAACTCGATGGTCTGCTCAGAGGCATTGCAGAGGTTATTGTGAGTACTATGAGGCGGCTCGCCGGTTCGACGCTGTTGGGACAAATGGTTACTGATGCATGTCATCGCAGAGCAACAAGTTTGAACCCAGCGACTCGCCTGATCTGACGCCGTCGCAAATCGCAGCTTGGTACCGCAGTGTTGGCGGCGACTATGATGTCCTGTTTACCGACACGCCGCCGTCTTCGATAGCATTCATCTACCGCTCGCTGGGCGCATACCACAGTTTGCAGCCCGCAGCAGACGACGATGGATACTCGAGCCCAACGATACCGGCCTTGAAGAAGCAAGGGTTTGTAACGTGGCAGACTATTCAGCTGTTGCTGGGACCAGAAGAGCACGTACCGTTTCTCCAAAGAGCCGTGGAATTGGACGACATACCGGACCCCGAGACGGGCAATCCTTTCCCCAAGATCCTTCCAAAAGAGTGCTTTCCAGACAAGCCCGACGATGCCATGGAGGCGTGGTATCACAATGTCGCAGCCAGGCTCAAGAAGGAGGCGGAAGAGGAGGCCAACGAAGGGAGTACCGACGAAGCGAGACTGCGTTCTTCTACCGAGTACGAGCCTTCTTCGGCGGACGAGAAGCATGGGGCGTTCCGGTACTTTGAAGATCCGCTCTACCGCAACGAGAGACCAAGGCCTACTTTTATGCGTCATGTCATGAAGCAGTCTGCCCGGCCTGTTGACGATCGCGACCGGGCCGTCACGTCACGGGTCAGGCACATGCTGAACCCGCTGAATCCATTTGCTAGTAGAAAGAAGACGATGCCAGGCCGGTACGAAAGCGACAGCTACTCAGATGAAGATGCGACACCTGTAGCGTCTGTACCTCAAGCAGCACCTAGATATCCTGCACACAAGCGCCCGCAGCCGCCGCGTCGCGAGTCTTCACTGTCGACAACTGAGTCGGAATCTGAGTCTGATGCGGATCAATCTCCTCGGCGCCGGACGCCAATACTGCGCACTCGCAGATCTCACGATGCGCCTGCAGCACAGCCGGGCTATTTTCCCGCTTACCACGAGGCGCGTCGATACTCCAACCAACACGAGACGGTTCGGGTTGAAGGACGAAGTTCTACAGCAACATCACCACAGCCGGTGTACCGGCCGACTACGTCGCCGCTGTTTGCGACGCAGGTTGCTCATGCACAGCAGGAAGCACGAAAGTACTATGAGCGCAGACCTGCCATGCCTCCACGCACGAGCTACCGACCTGTGCCTGCGCCACACAGCGGGGTGCGGTGGGGATCGCCGACGTTGCACCCTGTGCCGCCCTCTCGCGAAGGTGAGAGTGCATATGTGCGCGAGCGAGAACATCAATATCGTGAGCGAGAGGGGCACGATGGAGGCAGCAGCAGCGGGCGATCACACCGACGGCACTCTACAGACGTCGAGTATCCTCGAGAGCGCGATCGTGACAGTGACAGGAGACGAAGCCACGACCGGGCCAAAGACGAGTGGGATGACCGCGACTATGTACGATCATCAAGAAATGGGAGTCGGGATAGGGATAGGGACAGGGACAGGGACAGGGAACGAGACCGGGAGCGGGACAGAGGGCGGGATCCACGGATGCATAGGTATGTGTCTGGGGTACAAGAGGGAGCATCTGGGCGCAAGTTTCCTGTTCCCAGCGGGCCTGCTTACTAAATGCATGCGCAGTGTCAGAGGCCAGATTGTGCGGCTGCTCAAGGAGTTTTGAGGACATGGACACGATGTGGTGATGGTGATGATGGTGGGGGGGGTAGGTCGAAGAGGTTAGCAGGATACATAGTGGCGGTGGCTGACCAAAGTGTGGCTTGGATCTGGCTATGTGGACAATCTTGAGAAGGAGCGCGCATTCGTAACAAGGCGGTCTGCAACGTCTGCAATGTGTGTAGCATTCATGTGTTGGAACACGAGGTGGGCAAGCGCCAGTATGCGTGTGTATGCATGCAATACATCCATAGTTGGATGAGGGACAATGGTTGCACAATAAGCAACGACACACACACACATGGCGGCAGCACTTTGTTTTGTTGCAAAAAAACGTAGCAAATGATGGATGCAACTAAGGACTGGGGGGGAGGCAGAAGGCGGGGCTTGCTGTGTCCCGTCACTGGCGATTGCCCATTGGTGGAATGCGCAGAACGCGGCCAGAGGGGGGACGGGCTCTTCGTGTCCAAGAGTGACACGGGGGAGTCCGGGGGGGCGGAGGTGGAACTGAATTCAGGCCTGGCTGGCGGCACAACAGAAGCGGGTGGTGCGGCGGTTGTGTATGTAGTGTAGTAGCAGTAGTACTGTTAGTCCAGTCGTGGTAGCAGTAGTGTAAGTCAGTAGTGTAGAGAAGAGTGGGGGAGGCGGCGGGCAATTGGACTGGACCCTGGTCTGGCCGGGCGTGGCTGGGCGGGCGTGGTTGGCTGCAAGGCCGGGACAAGGGCAAGGCCAAAGGGCAAAGGAACGCGATGTGCGCCAAGCAGTCGCGTTCCCTAGCTGATAGCGTCATAGCCACTTGTTGGGCGCAGCTCCATCCATGCCCGCCTCGCACTACCGCTTCCCGGCCGATGCTGGACTATACACACCCACCGGTATCCATAGCCATATTAATCACGCCAGCAAATATTGGCGGTTTGCCCGAAGCCACGCCGGTGTCGTTGTCGGCGTCGTCGTCGTCGTCGTAGGCTCCTGCTCGGCTGGAGCTGAATCGCTGTCTGCAATTGGCAGTGTGGCAGTGCGTCCATTGAAGGAGCCACTGCCCTGCCGAGGAAGGCACGTCCGGATCGTCGTGGCCAGAGAGCTGCAATTACATACTACGCACACGACTCACTTTCACCACCTTCCCCTTGGTTTCAATTGCCCACCTTCGCCTCCACTGCTTGCCTCTTCACCCCTTCAACCCAGCCGTTCCTTGCTCGCAATCTCTTTTGTTTCCCTCGGCGATCGATCCACCGGCCAATAATCCCGGCTTGTAAAGTAAAAAGTCCAGTTTAGTGCTCATCCACTGCATGTACCGGCTGCAGCATCGCTAAAGCATAGCTGCCGCCGCCGCGTGTACCAACCAAGCTAATCGGCCCAAACAACAGGTTTCCGCTTGCACCGGCAGCAGTACCCTCACAGTCTCTCTCTCTCTCTGTGTGTGTGTGTCAGTCTCTTTCGCGCTTCCCTCTTTTTAACCTGCACTCGTCTCCTTGTCCGCCCAATTCCACCCGCCCCCATTGCACGCCCTGGTCCTCCTCTAGTTGCTGTCCAGCGCCAGCGGGTCGGGTCTCCGCTCCACACCCCCAGCATGGCTACCGCATCGCGGGAATCAGAGCTGAAGCAGCAAGGTGTCCTTGAAGCAGCAAAAGACCCCAACAGTTCTATTACCGCGCAACAGGCAGAGCAATCAATTGTCAACCAGGCGCAAGCCGCGGGCAGCGCCGCCTTTCAATTCGACCCTGATGCCAGTCCTGACCAGAAGCGGGCACAGGCAAGAGCCAAACTTCCACCTGGCTTCCACCGCGAGCACAAAGCTACCGCACTCGTATCAGACACCGACGGCGACGGTCCTTCCCAGTACGACCTGCCGACGCCCACCAAGGCTGGCGCAATCCAGACACCAGAAGGTACAAACGCAAACGGTCACGCGCCTGAGCAACTCGACGAAGATGCGCGGTGGGAGCGAGTTGGATGGGCCCCACGGTTTGGCATGCCAGGTTCGGAGAACAAGGACGAGGACGAGCCCTCTCTGGCAGACCATCAGACATGGCTTGAGGGCAAGCTCGAGGACAAGTTCTTTGGTGACTGGTACCACAATACCGGCATCATCATCTTTGCCTGTCTGAGCTCGTGGGTGGTGGGCATCCTCGGCGGCGGACTAGGCTGGATCATGATCTTCATGGCCGTCTGCGGGACCTACTACCGGACATCCATTCGCCGCGTGCGTCGCAACGCTCGAGACGACATCAATCGCGAAATGGCCAAGAACAAGCTGGAGACGGACAATGAGAGTCTTGAGTGGATCAACAGCTTTCTGGTAAAGTTCTGGCCCATTTATGCGCCCGTCTTGTGTGACACCATTGTTGGCACTGTCGACCAGGTCCTGTCTACTTCAACCCCGGCATTCCTCGATAGTCTGAAGATGACGACATTTGTGCTGGGAACGAAGCCTCCGCGATTGGAGCATGTCAAGACGTACCCAAAGACCCAGGACGATATTGTTCTTATGGACTGGAAGTTTAGCTTTACGCCAAACGACACAGCCGACCTTACCGCACGCCAGATCAAGAACAAGATTAACCCCAAGGTTGTGCTAGAAATCCGTGTCGGCAAAGGCCTTGTCAGCAAAGGTTTGGATGTCATCGTCGAGGACATGGCTTTTTCAGGTCTCATGCGCCTCAAATTCAAGTTGCAGCTACCCTTTCCCCACATTGAAAAAGTCGAAATGTCCTTTCTGGAACGCCCAACTATTGACTACGTTTGCAAGCCGTTGGGTGGTGAGACTTTTGGCTTCGACATCAACTTCATTCCAGGATTGGAGACGTTTATCATGGAGCAGATCCATGCTAATCTCGGCCCCATGATGTACGAACCCAATGTTTTCCCCATTGAAATCGCCAAGATGCTTGCCGGTAATCCCGTCGATCAGGCTATTGGTGTTTTGCAGATTCATTTCTACGGCGCACAAGGCCTAAAGAACCCCGATAAGTTCTCTGGCACTCCTGACCCCTACGCTACTGTTTCAATCAACAATCGCAATGTACTTGGACGCACTAAGACTGTGCATGAGAATGCTAACCCGAGATGGAATGAAACTGTCAACGTCATCATCACCTCGCTGAAAGACTCGCTTACCATCAACATCTTTGATTACAACGATATCCGAAAGGACAAGGAACTCGGTACCGCTACTTTCGTTCTGGAACAGCTCGAGGAGAATCCTGATCATGAGAATCTACAGCTTGAGGTCATGTCAGGTGGACGAGCCCGGGGTCTGGTTTCAGCAGACGTTCGCTTCTTCCCTGTTCTGGGAGAGACTACTCTTGAAGACGGCACCAAGCAGCCACCGCCAGAGTCACGGACTGGTATCTGCAAGTTTACAGTAGAGCAGGCCAAGGAACTCGATGGCAGCAAGAGCTTGATTGGACAACTGAGCCCGTATGCCGTCCTACTCCTCAACGGACATGAAATTCACAAATCACGCACCATGAAACGAACAAACCAACCCATCTGGCCAGACGCCACCAAGGAGATGCTCATTACCGATCGTAAGAAGGCGAAGCTTGGCCTTGTAATCAAAGATGAGCGCGAACTTGGAACTGATCTGATCCTTGGCACTTACCAAATCACCATTGATGACATGTTGGAGATGATGGCCAAGGGCCACGAATGGTACAACATTGCTGGTACCCAAAGTGGCCGTGTGAAGATGAAGCTCGATTGGAAGCCTGTCGCACTCAAGGGGGCCGTGTCATCGGGTGGCTATCTCACGCCTATTGGTGTCATGCGGCTGCACTTCCAAAGCGCTCGTGACCTGCGCAACCTCGAAGCGCTCGGCAAGTCTGATCCATACGTCCGCGTTTTGCTCTCCGGTATTGAAAAGGGCCGTACAGTCGTTTTCAAGAACAACCTCAACCCAGACTGGGACGAGGTCATATATGTGCCTGTACACACCTCCCGCGAGAAGCTTACGTTGGAGGTCATGGACGAGGAGAATCTTGGCAAAGACCGCACAATGGGACACATTGACCTCCTGGCTGGTGACTACATCAGGCAGGACGAGAACGGCGAATACCTTGAACACGAACAAAAGCAGCCTACTGCAGGGGCTTTGAGGGTGGCTGGACAAGCTCAATCCAGAGGCACATTAAACTACACCTGTTCATTCTACCCAACCTACCCAACTTGGGATCCTGAGGAAGACGAAGAAGAGGATGAAGAAGAAAAGAAGAAGGTTTCGGCCAATGGCTCTACAACGGATGACCCCAAGATCGGCGGCCACCAGCGTGTAATGTCTAATTCTTCTCTCGTAAGCAAAGCCGAGACTGTGGGCACAATCTCATCGCTCAAATCGAGCGAGAAGGACATGCTGAAGGAGCTTGAAAAGAATGAGCTGCAACAGGTCGATTCAATTCCCGAGAAGAAGAAGATTGAAAAGTTGAGGCTTACTGCAGACGAGTTGCAGAAATATGGTAGGTTGCATGACCACTGTGAGAATGCAGACTTGAGCTACTTGAGTTGGCGTCTCCAACTTCCAGCATCATGCGTTGTACTCTCAACCATTTGATCGACAGCCGCTGACATGTTGTAGAATCTGGTCTGCTTGTGTTCAAGCTCATCGAAGGCGAGTTTGCCAGGACTGGTGGTCATGTCGATGTCATTATGGATGACATGGCATATGCTAGTTATATCAGCACCAAGATCAGGAGCAACAAGATGACTTTCAATGACGGTATGGCGAGACATTGTATAATGCCATATGATTCTGACCAAGTTGCAGTTGGTGATACTATGATTCGAGAACTCGACTTTTCCAAGATTACTCTCCGTATCATGGAGCATAATGACAACGACAGTGAAGACCAGGATGACCATGTCATTGCCAAGTTGACTGGAAACACCATCGACACGCTGCGAAAAGCTTTGGTACGTCTGCAACGGTTAGTGTAGAAACGTCTGCTAACCACTCTTCAAGAACACACCCACTACTTTTACCCTGAAAGATAAGCACGGACGTGAAAACAGGATCACTGTGCTGCTCAAGTACATTCCCGTTAAGATGCGTCTTGATCCCAGCGAATCATTCAATAACCAGGGCACTCTCCGTGTAGACGTACTCGATGCGGCGGATCTGCCTGCAGCTGACCGCAATGGCTTCTCGGATCCTTACTGCAAATTTGTGCTCAACGACAAGGAAGTGTACAAGACCAAGACGCAGAAGAAGACGCTTCATCCTGCTTGGAATGAGTACTTTGAAGTTCCAGTGCGCAGCCGGACAGCAGCCGACTTTGTTGTTAACGTCTACGATTGGGACTTTGGTGACAAAGCCGACTTCCTTGGCAAAGCCTCTATCAACCTGGAGATTCTTGAGCCTTTCCAACAACAAGAAGTTACGCTCGCACTTGATGGAAAGTCTGGTGCCATTCGCCTGCGCATGCTATTCAAACCAGACTATGTCATGCGATCACGCCAGGGCTCAAGTACCTTCTCTGGCACTTTTGCTGTTCCAGGCAAGGTCATTGGTGCCCCTGTAAAGGGTGTCGGCAAGGGCGCTGCGTTTGTGGGCGGTAATGTCGTTCGTGCAGGAACCTTCCTCGGTCGTGGCTTCAAGCGCAGAAAGTCTCGTGGCGAAGCCCCAGAAGAAGAGCCCGATCGACCAGATACCGCTACAGACCGGCCATCGGCTGACACGCCCGTCATCTCGATCGAAGGTGAACCCAGCACACCCCCAAAGGATGGTTCGAACCACAACAGACATCGTAGCTGGGGCGCTCAAAGCTTCCACAGTCGCTTCGGCGACAACAATGGTGTCGGCAGCGCAGAGCAAGGCACGGCCAACATTACTGTCCTGAGCGCCGATGGCTTCGCTCCTAATACCAATCTTCGCGTACACATTCAACTTGGCAAGAAGGAAATCCACAAGACAGATCACATCAAGGCTCCCCAGGGCTCTGCGACATTCGACCCGTCCGAAGAATCCTTCAAAGCGCCCTGCACCGCCGATGCCTTTTTCAAAATCATCGTCAAGAACCACGCTAAATTTGGTCGTGATGAGGAGCTTGGTGAGGCTCAGTTCACAGTCTCTGATCAGGGCAGTGGCAGTGAACAGAATGTAGGTGTGGGCAAGGGTATGGTAACGCTTCGCACAAGTTTCCAGGCCAGCGATGCCACGAGCCAGCAGGGTAGCATTAGTCCGAGACCCAAGGGACGGGGTGGTCTGTTGAGGAGAGATCGTAGTACGACGCCTGCTTAGGAGGAACGGAGTCGTCGAGGAAGTCTGAAGCAGAGTCTGCGGCGTTTTAGTGGTGGTGGCGGCGGCGGCGGAGGAAAGGATATGGCAATAAAGGCTTCGGTGGAAAGAAGGGGTACAGTCTCGGCGTTGAAGGGTTGGATTAAGCAAGGTGAGCTAAGAAGGCGGGATACGGTGGTTTGATCTGGTCTGGTTCCTGGGAAAATTTCCTCTTCATCTTCATTTCCTCTTCCTAAGCAGACACGTTGGATTCCTATATTTTTTTTTCTCTTTTATTAGATCGTTTGTTTTCTTCGTCTCAAGAAAACTAGGATCTTGGTTAGCTGCTATGTAGAAGCTGCAGCAGGGCGTGATAATTAGTGTCAGTATGATGCACATAGTGGAGTGAAAGCGGATGGGAGCTGTACCGACGGCTGTACGCTAATGAGTGAATGAAGTGTTTGTTGTTGGTGAAAATGATTCTTGGCGAGCGTTTGCTATCTTGTTCACGGAAGCAGCAACCAAAACAAGGCCTACTCTCATCCTTCCACAAACTACTACTTATATCTTGACGCAGCCCCACACTACCTTTTCTCTAAAACCCCATCGCTTGTATTTCAACGCACAGTCACTTAGTCTACGGATTGTTACCTTGGTCTACGATTAGAAGATATGCCGCCACCAACTCGACGCAAAGAGCCCCAAGATCTCGATCTGGAGTGGGTTGCCCGCGAGCTTGTACCGTTTCTGGAATGGGCCTTTGGTGAGAAGTATGGGCGACCGCAGAGAACGAAAGCCTATTGGGTCGAGAAGGTGCTCTATGCGAGGTCCAGGATAGACAATGTGGTGAGTATACTGACATGGTTTTATGGTCCAGAGAGACTTGCATCTTGTCATCCATGTACTAACACCTATATTGCAGCCATACTACATAGACTTCCCCTCCACAATCGACACCCTTCGCCTTTACCTCGTCAACAAGGCCCATCTTACACCAAAGGAGCTGCTAGAATTTTCGAGCGTCGTCGTCCGGGGCGAAATGCTGTGCGTTCGCATGTTTGTCCGCCATGCTATCAATCATTGGACGTACGATCTGTACTCGCTGGGCACACACCAGAGTCCGTATTTTCAACGTCCGATAACGGCGCCAATGCCTAAGCATCCGCATATCAAACTTCCCGAGTCAGAATACGCAGCAGTGATGGAAGAACTGCTGAAACAGCTGGACAACTCCGGCACCAGCAGTGGAAGAGAAGGATGCAGCCGGGAAGGCTCTGTTCTCAGATATCGCAGTAATCTGTCCAGTGTCAGATACTCAAGTGATGGCTCAGATACATCTACAACGCAGTCCTCAGGTCCATCTGTGACGCAATCAGAGCCTATCTCCTTTTCCCTTGACTACTCAGATACATCTACTGAGGAGTCCTCACGTCCATCTGTAACGCAGTCAGAGCCCATCGTCCGGTACCGTCACGCTCTTGGTTCTCTACCAGAATCTCAAACATCGTCTACTACGCCGCAAGATTGGCAACATTATCCTTCGAGATCACAGCATGAATATCCTCAGTCTTATGGCCCATACCCCGGTCCTCACGGCATGCATGGGCCCAGTGTTTCTACGACAACGCAGACGAGTATTCCACAGTATCACCAACAATATCCACAGTACATACAGTGTCAAAACCTCAATCCGCCACGGCCCACCGATTGGTACTACCATTCATCGTGGATGGATCACACGATGCCGTATCATCCCCCCCGGACCAACTCTTTTCTACCAGAGATGGGCAACCCTTATGCCGCTCGCCCCCCGCCAACAGCAATGGCAAATCAGCCCATGACGCATGATTTTGTTCCTGGAAAAGAAAAATCTACTCTCGCTCATACGGCTGCGGATGCATACGTGCCACGTCCTGAGGCTAAAGAGTTCATCCCTAGTATGTTGTCTCGGGACAGGAATCGAATGCAATTACTGACACACTCCAGAAGCTGCGCGTAGATCCGGACTGCTTTAGAAACGTCACTCTTGGACTGAGTACTTTTGGGGTTTTAGTATGCTAGTATTTGTGGCGTTGTTTTTGTCGTTTCTTAGTGCACAGTTTTGTGTATCTCCCATCACATGAGCGTACTCTGTCTTGTTCATGACAGGTATAGAGACATACATCTCTCTGATTCCTATGCGTGTATGTAACATCAATTCAAAACAGTGCTCAATAACTCTTCATCGTATCCTGCCCATATTTGTTTCAAAACTACGCAAGTATTCTATCATGAACTTCATACCCCCATAAGCACAAACACCTTCAACGTGAATGCAAACCAAGATACAAGCCCAAAAATCCTACACAGCCGCCTACTCATTCTCCGCATTCCTCCCATCGGCATCGCTTTCATCGCTTGTAAAGTGACTCAGCGCCGAAACAAACGACGCAACGCTCGACTCGAGCCCAACCGACTCAGCATCCTCATTCTCCACCGCCCATGGGCGCGTACAACGACTCCACCACACCAACACCCCAACCACCATCTCCACGACATCCTCCAGCTTCTCCATCATAGCCTGCATCCCGACACTCTGCTTCCCGAAGATATATCGGCGTCTCGCGCGCACAAACCCATCTTTCATCATCCTCCTAACCTGCGGGTCGCCCTCCTTTGGCATTCTCTCCTGTTGCTGCTGCTTAAAACACCAGGTTGCCTGCCACCAAAAGAATTCCAGGCGCATGACTGAGTGCATTGTGCGCTGCAGCTCGTGGACCTCGATGTGGCGCGTCTGGTTGGGCATCAGCAGCATGAGATGGACGAAGAGCTTGTCGATGAGGTCGTTGGTGGATTGGATGGCGGCGTTGTACTGCGTCTTGTGGACTAGGACGCTGGGCGTGAAGTCCGGGTCCCATTGGAGGCGCGAGGGGAGCTGCAGGTGGTAGGTTTGGCGCAGCAGGTCCACGAGCGTGATGGCGGTCGCGAGGTTGACCGTGATGACGTCGTGTTTGTTGGTGCGCTCGTACGCCCGTTGCACGGCGGCAAGGTCTTGTTCGGACAATTGCTGTAGCTGGACTGCGGCTGTCCAGTCGGTTGCAGCCGGTTGGCGTGGTTCGAGCGAGCAGAGACAGGCTCCCTGGTCTACGTTTCTTCTCTCCTTGCTGCGCGTCACGCTGCGGCAGATGGGGCGCATGCAGTGTTGCGTGCAGTGGTCGAGTTTATAGGGTACCGTTCTGATATCTTCGTTCCATTCGTTCCACTTGTCCCACTCGGTCTCATCTTCTTCGTAAGCTGGGAAAGGTTCTGTTTGATCTGGTGGTGGGACTGGGCTAAATGAACATGGCGAAGGAAATCTAGCTCCGGGACTACATCTGGAGGGAAGCGAAGACTCTGGTGTGGAGGAGAAACTTTTGCCTGAATCGGTAGTGCTTGTGTTATTTGTCGTCTGGCTCGAGGATTCGCTCGTCATGCCCGTGCGCATCTTCTTTTTAGACGACTTGGATAATTTCCAGCGCTTTTTTGCGGAAAGTGTTGGAATGGTCTTGGGCGATATTACGTCCGTGTTCTTTGTACGTTTCGCCTTTTCGCGGTATGCGCGAAGCATGTTCATCAAGTTTCGAAACATGATGTGTCGAGTATATTATTTGGAGAACAGTTTCGTCATTAGAGTATCAAGATCAGTTTAGATGCTCACTTTATTACCGCTTGAAAATGAACATGGTGCCAATTCCATATACAACACTTGGTCTCAACGCGATCCGTGGTTGACAGACCATTACCCCTGCCCCCGAATGGAAAATAGCCAATGACATGTTGTGTCTCGCTAATTGTCATCAGTCACTGCAAAATATGGAGTTGCTTGATTGTGAGCTTTTGACTGAACTAAGGTCTGGCATGGTTAGTGTGAGCGGATTTTGTTTCATGGCTGGTTGCTCCCAGCTGTCCAAGTTAACGGAAAACAGTCGCTCACGTGCAGTACCTGAAGTGGACAATATGTTATGGTTCCCAGCGCGTACCTTGTTTCTCAGTTTCAATGTGTTACTCGATATCAAGAAGCTACCAGGTGTATATCTAACCCACGTAGAAACTCCAGTACTGAGTCCGTTTAGAGACTGAGGTATGATCTTTATTTATTTATTTATTTTGCATATTCCAGCGGGTGCTACAATAGAAGTGGTTTCTTTGCTGTCTACAATAGGGCTTTTGAGGGATTTCCCAGAGTTGAATTATGGTGCATACATATACTATCCTCTTACTATTTTAAGACCATTTGCTCGAAAAATCAAGCGACAATACTACTCGCTTCCATAAACATATCCATGCTCCCAATGACGTAACGCACTAGTGCCCCACCCCCACTACAGCCATTGGATCTCGACCACACATAAGGATCGTATCATCTGCCATGGCGGCATTTTAAAATTCCAAACCTACCTCTACGATATTGACTGCCAGTCTGTGAAATGGCGCTTCCACTCGGAGTCTTCCTTGGCGGCTGCGTCGTCGCGATTCCCGTCGTCACAGGCGTCGCGCAGGGCGTCGAGCATCAAAAGAAGCAAAACGAAGAAGCCGCGAATGAGTCGCGCATGTGGAAATTCAACTGTCTGGTGGCATGCGATGACCCCGATCCCATAGCAAAGGAGGAGGTGGACCACGGCATTCTGGTTGTGCGCCACGACAAAGTTTGGGTCGTGCCCAGGAACGATGATGACAAACCCATGTGGCCCGAGGGCGTGGATGGAGAGGGCAAAGAACCACTTCATGCATTTGCGGGCTTCTACATTGCATATCCGGATGAGGACCGCAATCCGCCAGAGCGAGGACTAGTGAGCACTATCAGTGATGATCCGCCCATGCTCAACTGGGTGTATTGTGATAAAAACACGTACGAGTTACGGTACTCGAATCGCACCGGTAGTATTATGCATCACATTGGTGTCTGGGACTGGTCAGAAGACGAGAGTCATCTCACTTTTGACGGCTGGGAAGGCTTCGTTGCTATTGACGAGTGGGATGGCGCTGATGAAGACCCTTCAACGCCTTGGGGGAGAGAAGGTCTGCGATGGGCCGTGTACTTTGACAAAGACGATAACGGTCTGAAAGGTCGGAGGAAAGGAAGAGACATGTTTGAAATTAGTCTGAAGAGGAGGATACAGAGTGCAGAAGAGCAGCTTAAGCAGAATGAGGCGGCGGAGAAGAAGATGCAAGTTAAGAGCAGGGGTGGGCTCAGTACATCGTTTGCTGCACCACAGAAGGAGCGAGATAAGGAGTGGGAAAAGAAGTTTGGTCAAAAGGCAAGAGAAGAGTTGGAGAGGAAGCTGGCGAGAGATCGAGAAGCAGGAGAGGGGCCACAGTGGGCAAGAGGTGATGTTGGGAAAGAAGTGGGTTGAATGGTGGCTTTTTTTCTTGGAAAGATACATCTGTCGGCGTTTATCCAATTTTGATCAAGGCCAGATTTTGTATTCGTACAATCGCGTGTCCTTTTTGATACCCTATGAGGACTCTTTTTGCGATTCATGATGCTCCTTGCAGATACATTCTGGAGATCCAAAGATGACCTGTGTCAGTAGCCAGGAGCTTTCTGAGATCATTATACAAAATCGCTAGTAGATGTAGTGGGGGCCATATATACAGACATCCACAAGATTAAATTTCAGGAATGGAAGACACATTAAGCCGGATATCATGGAATGTCCTCTAAAGACCAAGCATCAAACAAAACAAACATTCCGGAGGGGTGAACAAAATGCTCCAATACCAAGGCCCCCAATGTTTCACCAAACCTAACATGGTCTTACTCAGAGAAGTATCATTGAATTTTCCAAAAGAAGTTAACCTTGTTTATAATGTAAATCCTTGATTAAGTCACAAATGAGTCTTCAAAGAACCTCGCTGAATAAAACACAAACAAACTAAGCCCATAACATGAAAACAAATCCCTAAAATCACATATGCCATTCCCAAACTAAGTTCCTTCACGCAGGAGGCTTCCTCGTCTCAAGCTTCCTAGGCGCCCTCTTCGCGGCAGGAGGAGCCGGTGCTTTAGCAGTAGTACCGTTGGTATTAGCGGCATTGGGAGTCTGCTGATTCAGTTTCCTTGGCTTCCTCCTTGCCTTTGCCGTCGAAGTGGTGGAATTGCTTTCTTGGCCGTCGTTGAACGAGACACGCTTCGTCTGAGTGAGTCGAGACGGGTTTGCTGTTTGAGATTTCGGGGGAGAAGATTTAGTCGGGGTACTTGTTGTGGGTTTTTTGGAGGATTGTTGAGTTCTTGGTGATTGCTTTTGCTGAGTGGGTTGAGAATTGGTGTTGGAAGTCGATTGCTGGGGTTGTGATGCCGATTGGGGGTTCGCTGGCCCTCTTGTTGTGGGTGGTCTTTGGGAACAAGGCTTCGCGGGCTTAGGTTCTTCTTGGGGGGTAGCATTGGACGACGCGGCCTGCTGGTTTGATTGCTTTGATGGCTGCCTGCTCGGGGGGTTTGGCCGCTGGTTTTGAACTTGGGAAGGCTGCTGACTCTTTTGCTGTGTCGGCTGTTGGTTCTGAACTGGAGCTTGTGGGTTTGGCTTCTGTTGACTCTGTTGCTGCTGAGGTTGTGATGCACTCTGCTGTTGCTGGTTCTGCTTTTGTCCTCCCCAGGGGTTCATCGATGCACCTAGTCCTCCAAGACCCACCGCACCACCCATACCTTTTGCTGACGGCATACTAGGCATGCTTGGCATTTTGGGTCTCCAACTTGTCATATCCTTGACTGACTGCGACCAAGACTGTGGCATCTGGTCTGGTGCATCGTTCTTCATCTGCTCCAGCTCTTCCCTAGTGGGCGCTTGCGTTTCTTTCGTCTGCATAATCATCTTCTCCAAAGCCTTCCTTTGTGAAGATGTAGCTTTGATGTCTGGAAGAAAGTCACCAATCACACCTTGAACTCCGTGACTTGCCATCTCTCCGAGATCCCAAAAAGGCCCGGACATGGCGCCGTACACTGAACCGATACCACCTCCAAGTAGGCCAGTTACTGTAGACACCAGGCCCCCAACGAGTGCACCAGTCAGTTTTCCAAGGGTTACACCCGGTTGTACGCCCAATCCAGCTCCCGCAGCCAATCCCTGAAAAGCACCGGACTGTGTGTATTTTGCTGCTTTTCCGAAACTTTCAGCTTCGATTTCTTTGTTGATGGCTTTGGCTAGGATTTTCTCTCTTGCCTCGGCATCGGCAGCGCCATGTGCTGCTTGTCTAAGCTCCCATGCTTTTTGACCGGCTTGTAGAGCCATACTGGCGGATACACCAGCATTTTGCTTGATTTCGTGCTCGGGAATGGTACAGTGCGGAGTATCGTCATTGTTGTTGGCTGGGCCCTTTGCTGGCTTTGGTTTGGATTCTTTTTGGGCTTGTTTTGGTGGCATCTTGTTAGTTTGTGATGTTTGGAGATGTTGTCAAGGGTCCAGAAGCCGATTGATGTTATGAGGGTCGGCACTATGTGTGACAGCGCGAGTACGGAAGCGCTACGTCATGCAAGATCGTCGTTGGTGCACGCTGCACACATGTGGCAATTGACAACCTGTTTTATTAAGGCGGGTAACACGTGTTTGACAGGCTATGTAAGGATAGCCCTCTGAGCCTTTCGGGATCGGGAGTCGGACTACGCTGCGCTCGACGTTGATTCGTGGATGTACTAGCCTGGCATGACGTCGGTGGCCTAGTGTTGTTTTCTGCTCTAGTCTCCCGTCCACCAGCCACATTGATCGTGCCTTTAACTCTTAGGAGCCATGCCATTATCTGCTGGTGGTGACCCTGTGAATAGATAGGACTTGCGGTGAAACAGTGCACCACCTATTTCCACTAGCTTTCCCCAAGACAGAACAAGAAACAAAAGTGACTTTTCATGCTCAATCGTTGCTGCTTTTCCTTTCTAATCTACAGTCATCATTTCGATCACATCAAGCTTTCTTTGTGGCGTTCCCAGTTGCTCCGCCATCCTTGCCGCCTTTCAATTCCTTGTTCGTCGTCTGAATCAATAATCTTCGGTAGCTTGTCAAATTAGGTGTTCCATCGTTGGTGACCTCAAGAATAAGATGCAACAATTGACCTTGCGCAACAGGTTGCTTGCTCGTGAATTCCACGGCGGACTTTTCTGGTGGCGGAAGCGTAATTTCAACTTTTCTCCCTTCATTGTCCAACTTTTTGATTGCCAACTCGGCGACCTCAGCGTCTACCCACCATTGGGTAGCCGTGGGCTCACGGTAGTGCCACCATTTGAAAGTCAACTTGCCTCCATTGGGATCATATGTATCTGAAGCGTCGAGCGTAATAGCAGATCCAGCCTCGGCAGTAATTTGAGCGGGAGTGAGGCCTTTGAATCCACTAATATTAATCACGGGATGGTGGTTTGCTTTTGCAAAGTCTGACTCCATGGTCCATTTGATGCGCGCAGCAAAATCGTTCTGGAAGGCATCACGCCAACGCCAAATAGTCGCATGGTTGGATGTGTAAGTCCTATCGCCGACCTGAACTCGATCCACTGCATCGCTGTAGTGGTTGCTATTGACACCTTCGCTGCTGACATCTGTACGACTATACCTCCCACCCCAAGAGCCGTAGTGCGGGCAATCAGGGACGCCCAGGCCATTCTGAATGAGGTACAGAAATGTGGGTGTATCTCCTTCGGGGATGAAAAGATAGTCGGGATACGCGCTCCCAAGAGGGCCTATCTGGATATTCTCCTTGATCCAGCTCTTCTCCATCTTGGTAAAGTCGGGGCCGCCTTGATCGAAACCATAGTATCTGTCGCCAGAAATGCCAGTCCACGCAGCCAAGCCATACTGGTTCCAGCCATGGACCGAGGAAATGTAGAACACATCTGGAAAGTTGTTCCGGATCCACACTCCCGTGTCATCCTGGTCAGAAATAGCGTAGACGCGCAGACGCGAAAGCAAGCGCTTGGAATCGTCCGGGTCGTAATCATCATCAACCTTCAAGAGAGCCTGAGCAAGCGTGTTGGTTCCACCCCAGCAGAGGATCCACAGCGGCTGGATAGATGGCGCAACAATCCGGTCGTACAAGAGCTGTCCGCCAGCAGATAGTTCTGTTCCGGTGCCAACAGCAGACATACCGTATGTCTATATTACATCAGCACCATCCTCACTAATAGTCGCGCGTGTTTGGGTTCAAATATGAACCTACCTCGGCACCCTTCCTGATGAGACCACGTAGATGATCCGCAGTTGGGTATTGCCATTTGGGATGAGTGTGCTTGTTCAGGTTGTCGACAGCGCCGGCATAGGCATCGATGATCTTCTCCATGTCTTCCGGGTGAACCTCATTCTTCATCCACGTGCTTGTGCATGCTATGAGGCCCTCTGTTTCAAACTCATTTGAGTAGAGGAGATAGCGACACAACGATTCAGCATCGTCAGGCTCATTTGAAATGTCCGACAAGATAATGACGCGGGGTTTCTGCTCGTAAGTTTGGAGCCGTTCAGTTGCCATGCTGATCAAGTCAATGGCGTACGAAAGGGAAGAGTGGAACAATGAAGTGAGGGTTTATGGAGGGAGCTCAATGGTATCATGTGTCGGAGATTGCTATGGTTACCGCTGCTGTTTAGCTATCACGTCTCACAAGGTGGGGCGTTGAGGAACGAATGTGGCACTCTAGGCACTTCCTGCCGTCTGGAAGCCACGCCGGCTGCACTTGCCTGTGCACAGCCGTACGACACACTTTACTGGCATCCCCAGTCTTCGCCCCTCATGAGGCATCACCAAGGCATTCTACCCTCTGTGCAATATTTGCCACTGCAGGCATTGTTCAGGATAGCCGTTCCCGCGATCTACTAGCTGTTGCGGGGCTTACTAGATGGCTGCGCCATAATTAGGCCGCATTGAGCCGTGCCGCTCAGCCTTGCGTGCGACCTCCTGGAAGTCGAGCGCATGAGCAAAACACCCAGTTCGCCATCGACAAGATGTCGCTGTATCCACCTCGCCTTTCAGGCGTCCAGAATGACGTATCGGTGTCACCGGGCTGCGTTGTTCAGCCTATTGCGAACCGAGTGTGAATACGCCCTCTCACACATGTAGATCTCCCAAGGCAGGCTGTGTACCCCAACATGCCATCACTCTTGTATATAAAGATTGCCTTGCGCTTCTGTCTACGGCAACCGTTTTGTAACAAACAAACAACCAGAAGTTGAATATGTCCTCTATCCAAGACCAGCTTCAACAAGCGGCCCACCAAAACGAGCAGCTGCTTCGTGGCCTCGAAGAAACCGACGCTGCCCCCTCACAGCTCAAGCAGCAAAATGACTACATAGCCGACCTCGATTCTCAAATCCAGAAAACAACGGGTCGGGTAAAAACACTGAAGGACAAAGCAAAGGTAGAGCTCAAGGAGCATGAAAAGTACCGCGACTCAACCTTTCGGCGGTTCGCCCACAAAGCAAGTGGCAAGAAGGAGAAGTTTGCCGAAAAGGCCGCCAAAGAAGAGAAGGAATATTTCGACGCGATACAAGAGCAAAAAAGTGCCGAAGACGAACTGGCATACACCAAGCAGCTGCGCGATGAAGCCGAGAGGCGGAGGCAAGAACTCTCCACCCAAGCCCAACGCCACGAGAGCCTCCAAGCCCAACTCGATGCCCTCTACAACTCCATCTTCGCCGGCCACACGCCCGAATTTCCAGATGAAGACCGCAAAGAAGAGGCCTGCAACGCCGCTCTCACCCACGTGCAACAGCTAAACCAGCGTCTCGAGCGCGAACGCCACATCCTCTTCCTCCTCGGCCAAACCTCCGTGAAGCTCTCTGCCGCGCGCACCTCCCTCGAGCACGCCTACGGCATGAGCCAATTCGACATGTTTGGCGGGGGCACCATGGCCAGCATGCAAAAGCTCAACGACCTCGAGCGCGCCGAAAGCGCCATGGTCCAAGTGCGCATGCTTCAAGACCAACTGACCCAAGTTGCGCCCGAGATGCCCGCCCTCGGCCGCCTCAACATCGCCAGCGGCAGCATCTTCTCCGACGTCGTCTTTGACAACATCTTTACAGACATGCGCATGCACGAGGAAATCAAAGACTCCATCGCCCAGGTCGACCGCGCGGGAAAGACCTGTGGCGATATCATCCGCCACCGCGAGCACCTCGAGCACACCCTGCAGAAGGAAGTCCAGCAAGCTCACACTCGGCTGCAGACCGCGCGCCATGACTTGCAGAAGGCAAGAGAGGAGGCGTTCAAGAGGGTTCTGCATGGTGCTACTGCTGCTGCGCCTCAGTTGCGTTCCATGCCCATGGGTACTACTACTGCTGAGGCTCCTCCGCCCGAGTATACGCCGCCTGGTGGCCCACCGCCCGGGTATTCGGGTTAGGAACGTATGTGTAGCAGGGGGTAACGTGTCTGGGGGAGGGGGACGATTATGTGCACATGTAATGGCTGTGGGTGCATGGCTAAAATGCTTAAGTTCGAAGCGATTCTCGACTCGGGTTACTTGTACATCAAATGTAGCCATTCTCACTTACCTATTTAGATAGGAAGCGCGGTATTCAATGACTTGACTTACTAGCGGGTGCTACTGGTTACTAGTTCAATCGCATTTACGAAGCTTCTAGTGGAACGGTTGTTTGTTCTTCTGCATGCTTGTTTCATCTATAGTTGACACGCATGATCTTTTTTTTCTTGGTGGATGGCCTTTGGTAAATATATCGCGTATACATCTTGGAGGAAACAGAAGCTGGGCTTGGTGCCACCCCTTGAGACATGTAGAATCTCGACGTGACAGGTGCTTATCCACAGCTCGGCTCTTCGTCGGTGATGCCAGATAAACATGATTTTTTTTGTAGTATGAAGCCGGAAGCACGAAGAGAGAAGATTATGGGTGAGTGCATCAGATATGGTGGCGAGGAAAAGTCTAGTCCTGGCACAGCACTCGAGTCATCCAGACACATTTGAGGAAAGAGGATTCCAAATAAAGAATAGATATACAAGCAATGTAGCAGTGTCAGACGGCTCCAAATAGGGCCGCTAGTAAGAACACGAATATATACAGTTTAAGCCACTATGACGGCTCCACAATTCGCCACTTTTGCATTTTCTGCCAGCGAAATTCCTTGTAGACGGAACTAATAATCATCTAGATAAAGGCCTCGGCGAGGGCACTCTCAAAGGTGCCGTCCCTAAATGCTGGCGTTGCCGCGCCAAAGTCCGTGTTCTGGATAGCATTGCGAGCAGCAGCCGTCATGCTGTCCCATGCAATTAGCGGCTGCTGACCACCGAGGTCGTTAGTGGGGATGAGCTGATGGTTCAATGGCCAGTAAGCCCGGTATCCAATCTTGGGTCGAGTTCCCTCCAAAGGTGGGCTGGTTTCTTTTTGGTAATTACCATGTGCGGAAATAGCAACACCGCGAATGGTGGCAGTGGTGGAGGCTGCTGAGAGCCAGACGACAATGTTTTCCCAGTCGTGGCGGTGACCAAGGCCACCTGAGGGCGAGTCCTTGGGCATGTACCACGCATACATGATGGCGAAGGCACCGTTGTAGGTTGTAGAGCGGGCGTAAACTTGGCCGGTGCTGGAACTGCAGCCGCTATTTTCGCCGCCACTGGGGTTGAGACCACCGCTATTAGGATAATCAGCATCTATGGCATTTTAGATTTGTAGGAAAGGCGGACCTAGTGTCTCCTGCGGCGTTAACGGCAGGAAAAGGGACACAGCCGTTGAAGACCTTCAAGAAAGGCTTGTACTTGAGCATAAGCTGTCCAACAAGACCAGATGGAACGGTCTCTGGGAAGGGAACCACAGCATCATGTGCAATGACTGCGCGGCTTTCGAGGCTGACGGGGGAGGACAGGACGACGCTCGCAGCTGCGAGGAGCTGTAGGGGGAGACTTCGGAGGCCGAGCATGTTGGTTCTCAGTGTAGTATACCAGGACAAGAAATACAGTCTTGGGAATGGACACCGTCCAGTAGTCGGAAACCTCTGTGTTGCTGAAACCGGGGATAGTCTTGTTCTTTATACTGACGCTTCGGCAAATATGCCAGTCACATGTCCCATGCTAGTCAGTGAAACAGGCACCGCATAGTGTTGTTCTCTACTTGGGGTTTCCAGGTCATGCCTTAGGATTTGGCGCTCGCATGAAACGGAACATTATTTATGCATCCTCCCGGCACGTTGGTAGGGCACATGGGTTGCTGTGTAGACATTGATTGGCCATTGCTTTGGTACAGCATGGACATGGACATTGACAGCGGCCTTGTTGCAGTTCATAGCTGTGTGGGGCAAACAACGTCGGAGAAGGACTCTATAGAAGGCAATCCGTTCTGCCGATCCAAGTAACCGTGCATTAGACATACTAGGCATGGTTCCCATTATTGCGAATCAGATACAGAAGTCGCTCCCAAAAGTTATCGCCAGGCCGGAGGAGCTTGGCTAGAAGTTCTTACTAGCGTGTTACTAATCG